AACTATGAAGGGCTCATTGAAGCGGAAGGCTAATGATTTCCTATCATGGCCATTTCTAAACCACACTAGAATTTGCAGTAATAATTCCAGGTTTTAAATGTAACTTCAGAACAAGTATTCTTTCATCTGCTTTCCAGTCTATCCCCTCTTCCTCAAGCAACACCCTACTCTGTGCTCCAATTCAGCTTCACACTCTGAATGCATCTTCATTTTCAGGGTCAAAACGCAAAGAATACTCATGTTAACATTCAGGCACCAAGGCAGGAACATTAAAACAAGTGAGACATTAAATTCATAGGTTAGAGTCAGACTAAAATATTGGGTTTGTTTTATTTTTTCTTCTGGTTAGACCAATGATGATACACATCAAACAAACAGATCCAGTGCAGAAAACTCCTATATACATGTTGGGAGTCTCCATGCTTGCTTCAAGCAGGCCAGAGAGGAACAAACATTTCAGATTTAATGATAAAACAGATAGAGAACCATCTCAATACAAAGGAGCTGCAGATTGGCTGGAATAACAGTGGTGCAAAGCTTTGTTTAAGCCTGCCTGAAAGATGGCTGGGATGAATGCCATTATCCTCTCCCACTTTTGTGGTAACCAAAGAGAATTTCAATCTTACAGGCAGTGCTTTCTGTAATGCAATAAGGCCAGAGACTGTATAAGGAGCGGGAACATCATAAGCTCACTGCTTTAAAAAACAAACAAACAAAAAAACCAACAGTTTGATAAGCAGTGAGACTTCCCCAAGGCTACAGTCTTTCTAAGTTATGTGATGTAGGTAAGTTCCCCATTCACATTTGACCAGCAGTATTCATCTCTGATCAGGACGTATAGTAGGTCATGCCATTTAATAACATCTAGAGACAGGGAAAATAATTAGTTATATGCCTCATGCAAGACTAACATAAGAACAAGAAGGTAACTGAACTACACAGAATACTGGAATACACGCAGCACCAGGTTAAGAATTGCCAAGTGAAAGCAGTGTCTCTAAACAAAGAGAAGTGGAAACTGAAATGAAAGTCTCAGAAACAGACCTCAACATGGGAACAGAAAACACGAGCAGAAGCACACAACACAGGGCGGAACTTAATGAAAAGGAAAAAAATGAAACAACAAAAAAAACAGTCATCCACTGAAGAAGTTTGATGGCTCTAAGAAGTTGAGCTTTGAGAACAATGCCATAGAAAGTCTGTACCTGCAGTTACCACAGCACTTCACTCAGGGCTCAGAGACAGGCGAAGCTGACACACTCAGAAAAGCTTAGTCACAACTTTGACACTTTTGGTACCCCGTGCCTAACACGCTGTGAAGGTTTTCTACTAGAAGAGTAGAGAACAAGTATTTTATTGGAAAGTCAAGAAAATTGCAAGAGAGTTGCAAAAACACTTTGTCTCATCTTAGCAGTAAGACATGCAGTGTTACATATCCCAGCTTAAGTGGCAAGTGCAAAGTGAAAGTCTAGAGTTTCTTTAGTTAACCAATTCAAGTATAGGAAAGAAAAGAAAGAAAAGAAAGAAAAGAGAAGCCATAAATTTCCTACTCTGAGACAAAAGGCTGACTTCATTCAGCACAAACCACTTCTGATCTCACCAGAAAAGCAAATAGAAGAACTTTAAAGTTGAAGGATACAACAGTAAAAATGAGCAGAGACTGATCACAGTAGTGATCTGAGGCAATTAAAGTTGTATTTAAACTATTACTATTCTCTAACAGAGATAACTAGCTAAAATACCTTCCTCAGCTGCTATGCCCCAAAACACCTCCCAACAATAAAAGCAATCTGTATTGACAAAAGTTGTTTGGGAAACTAACTTAGTGCACCTGAAAGGGGAGAGTGCACCTCAAGGGCATGGCAGCACTCCTGGTAGTTTTAAGTGACCTAACAGTTTTTGTTCAAGTTTAAAACTACATCCGGCGCTATGTAGATGATACCAGATAGTCAAGCTCAAACTCACAAAGTTGATTCAAAGCAAGCAAAACTTGTTCTGCACTGTAAACTAAAAACTCTGAGAGTCTGCATTAGCAAAATGTAGACCAGTTTCTTCAACAGTCCTTCAAACTTTGTTGCTTTCCCTTACAACTTTCTTTTCTTTCAAGGCCATCTGTCCTCTGTCTGCTTAAGCAGCCTGGGTACCTAGCAGCAGCATCTCCACAACTTTATTTATGTTGAGGGTCATACTACACAACCACTCAATCAGCAGTTAAACTTCAGGACTGGTACAGGTTCATTCTAAAAAGACGCAGTTTGAAAGCAGAAAGGTTGCTTTATCCTTTTTCTGTGTGTTGTGATCATTTCCCCATTGACTGTGCAATTTAGGTCAAGAGTAACCTTTCAAAGATCCTTCTATAGCATACCCACTTCACCATCAAGAGATGAAGAGATTACTATTTGTGAAACTTATGAAAGAAGAGAAGTCTCCCAAGTGTCCATGAGTATTATTTTAGACATGAAGGCTTGAGAATGCACAGACTGGGGCTACTTAAGCAAACCTTCTATCCAGATCTGAACCAGGCTTTCCTGAAGGTTGCTGAGATTCCACATACACAATGTTTCCTGTACTAGTGGTAAACCCTGTTACCTGTGGCCAGCCTGACAGAGGTGGATCACACTGATTGACAGCAGATTTTAAAGGTAAACTACTACCGCAGTCTGCTGAATAACCAGAGAGCCTCACTCCAGACACGCAGTATTTTAGGAAGGTACCTTAATGTACTCTGCAAGCCATATGGAAGAACAACTTCGTGCAGCACTGATCCATCACTGCCACTTCCAAGGCCCAACAGACCAACTGCAGCAGCAACAGAACCAGCTTTCCCAATAAAAGCCCCTCAGAACTTGTGTCCACCCAGTAACATCTTCAAATTAAAGGATTACCCAAACAATTCTTCACGCATAGACTGAAAGCCTGGGGAGACAAGGCAATGCTTAGTATATCCTAGACTCTACAACGCTGTAGGTGAAGGTGTAAGCACCGAATCAGAGAATACATAAGCCACCAGCATTTCAGATAAGTGATGACTTGCAGGATTTCCCACATGCTGCTCCCCAGTCTGTAGGTGAACTACCATCTCTAGTCTCAGTACTTGCTACTCCAGTTTGGCCAGATGTCAGGGACTGTCCCAGCTCCTGCTTTGCTTCTCAATTTATGATCCCAAAGAAAGCAGCGACAGTTGTGATTCACTTAATGGAGGAGAATAGTGAGCAGATACTGCTGTCAAGTTTCACAGCAGAAAAAAAGAAGCACAAAACCTCACCAATGAAAGAGCTGGCATTTGCATTGAGACTGTGTTCTTTGTACATCAGACAGTGAGCTTCCAAGAGTCTAGTTCTGTGCAGAACAACCAACGTGTAACCCTCAGAACACCACCTGCTCTGTGATCCACCTTCTGGATACGCTGTTGGAGTATTCCATAGCTGTTATCAACTGCAATTTAATGTCTCCTGCTCTGTTCAACAAAGAAGAAAGCTAGCATTTGTATTGCCTTAAAGACAATCATTTTCTCTTTTCCACCTCCCAGTTCATTTATGTTTTCTAACCTTCTCCCTTTCCAACTGCTGCTCACACTACTGCTAAGAGACCCTCAGCGTACATCTCAGCAGACACTAGTTGAGGATGCTCCAGCACAGAACAGCAACACATTCCAACTTCTCACAGCTTCGTGTGGCCAAAATAGGATCTAGGCTTCTATCATTGCTATGCTTGTGGTTGATCGCGTTGGACTCGAGCCAGTCTCCTGTCTCTAGAGAAACTCCGCATTCTCAGAAGAAACTAACAAAGCAGATTTTTCCCAACACGTCCCGATGTCTCCTATGACTCCCGCAGTGAGGGCGAGCCGCCGGACCCACCCGTTTCGTCCAGCCCGCCTCCCCGCTCCAGCCCGAGCACCCATCCCCTCCCGGAGCCCCCGCGGTGCTCGGAGCTCCGGGGACAGCGGAGCCGCTCCCAGCCACGCGGCCAGCGAACAAAGGAGCCCTGCCTCCGCCCGAGTCCGCCGCCCGGCCAGGAGCGCAGCCAGAAGAGGCTTTTTGAGCTTCACAGGCTGGCAGAGTGAAATGCACTTTCTGAACGCGTTCACCGTCTCTCGCTTACGCTTAAAGCATCTTCTCGAGGCTTCTTCCGATTTTCTCAAGATTTCTTCTGCAGATCCCCCCCCAGAATCGTGAGAAATGCTGCGGCCGCGTAGCTCTGGCACACACTTGGGGCGCTGCCGAGGCCGGGCGGGCAGGGCTGTCCCAGCGCCCGCGGCCCCGTGTTGCAACGCGGAGCAGAGCGGAGGAACTCCCAGCCGGATCTACGAGTTTCTTGGGTGGGAGCGGTTGGGAGAGAAAAAGGGGAAAAAAAGAAAATCTACGGAAAAAGGGGGAAAAAAAAACCAAAGCAAAACAACTTTTCCAGAAGCAATAATGAATTGGAGAAAAAAAAAACAGAAAGCGAGAGGGACTCCTGGGACGAGAGGGAGCTGCTCCGCTTTGAATGGGCCGCGCTGTCGCACCGCTCGGAGCCTGCGGGCGTCCCCCTGCGGCTCAAGGGGAGAAGAAAGCCCTGCGAGGACCGCTGCCGCCTTCCGAGTTTTCTGCTTTGTTTTAATATACAGCCGACAGCCACGCAGTGATCAGAGATTGAGGGGGAAAATGCTACAACGCTACACGAAAAAGGTATTAGAAATTCGCTGAAATGTGAGATTTCAGCACGATGTAGACACAGCCCTTCTTTAAGGAGTAAGCAAGGCAACGGGGCACGGCCAAAATCTTTTAAACAAAGCAGCTGGAAAACTTGTTTGCCTGGAGTATGGAACCGCAGTTCCAGAGCTGCAGAGAAGCGAGACAGCCCCCTCGAGCAGCCCGGCTCCCGCAGCCCCCCGCAGAAGGCAGAAAACGAGAAAAGCGATAGGAAAACAGCACCTCGTCGCGAATTTTAATTACCCGACTCGTCACCTTACAAATAGGCGAAACGAAAAAAAAACAAAAAAACAACCAAACCGAACCAACCAATAAGCCCAGAAATGAGGAGGGAAAGGAGCCCCGCCCGGATTTCGTTGTCTCACCACCAAAAGTGCAGCTGCCTTCTCTTCTTTCCTTCCTTGGGGAAGAGGAATCGCCCGGCCCGCTCTCGGGCTGCCTCATTCACTCGCAGGATTTGGGATCCCACGGCCCGGGAGCCAATGGGCTCCTCCTCCTCCCCCCGCGCCGAGCCCCGCAGCTCCCGCCCGGCGCCTCCCGCCGCTTATAAACACCGCGTGCCGAGGGCTGAGGGATGCGGGGTTCGGTTCCTTTTCCTTTTCGCGTGTCCGCTACGAGGAACTGTCTGGCAAAGGTATTCTAAGTGCTAAAAAGTTCCTTCTGTCTCACAGGTTCCATTGGGAGTCACGGTGAAAAGTTTAGCCTGCTGCTGCTGCGAGACCATGAGGCACTGTGTAATGCTCGCTGTTGGCTGGTTAGTTCGTAGGGCACAGAGCAAGCGTTATTCCTCGCTTTTGCTGGAAAACCTTCAGGGCAGGACGGGTTTTAGCTTCTCCCCCCACCTTTACCACGACCGCTGGTGATTTATTTGCATCGTCCAAAGGAGGGTGCCCTGCTCTAAACTCTTCTCAGGTTTTAAGAGGCCGAAAAGTTCCTTTTCACTGAAGTGCTTCAGTCAGTCCCACAGCTGAGGTGTGAGTGCTTACCTCAGGAAGCTGCGTGGGAGGAGCGCGCCTTCTGTAAAGTCCTTTGCAAACCCTCTGTAAGGAGGAAAAACTACCTCTAAAACAAGCTTATTCAATGTAAATTGAGAAACTGCTCTGTTTTAGGAGATAATTCTCAGTGAGCATAAATGTTGCACACAAGCTCACCATGTAGCTTCTGTTTTCTGATTTGACTGTGACTGATTTAAATAATACCTGACCTTATCACTGAGTTCCCAGAAATTTAACTGCTGCGTATCATGAGCATTAGTGTGTGTTTGTCAGCATACAACCGTAAATCTGACAGCGTCTTTGTGGGGTGAGGAACTGTTTTATTTTTACACATGGGACAGACAATAGGAGGCAGGAATACTGTTGTCAAGGGCACCCAACAAAAGCAGAAAGGGTAAAAAAGCAGCGCCTTTTTTTCCAGTCCCACGAAGGATGTGTTGCTTTTTAATACAAGTTTTGTTTGGGGAAGCTTCAGGCCTGAGGAGCTTCCCACTTGACCTTTCCTTTCTCCTGGGCTGTGCCTCTGTGTGACCAAACACTTGGTAGCCCTTCGCAGATTTCTCTTTATCTGTTGGATTCTGCCCTGAGACAAAATGAACATTGTTGCAATTGATGGTTCGCCCTGGCAGGGAGGGTTTGTAGATCATTGTACAAATTTGGCGTGCTGAGCAGTGTTTGAATAACAGTGCAAATAGCCTTAAAAACAAAACATCATTCACTTTTTTTTACCAGAACAGTAGTTGCTAATTTTTCTCCAGTTCATAAACATTACTTCATAGGTTTATCCCTCATTATTCTCATTAAATGTCATCCTTCTCACACATTCAGCGATGAAACAGTCCCTTTCCAAATGAGATGAGAGATGTTTAAGAACCTCTAAGTTATCAATTCTTTGGCTGGTGTTACCAGTTTTTCTGTTTTCATTTTCGGCTGAATTTGGTAAACCAGAGGGAAAAATAAAAAAGCACTGGATTCTTTCTTCCACAATTAATAATTAAAAACAAACATGATTCACATGTTCTTCAACAAATACAAACGCTCCGTTTTAGTTTAACTTTTTTGATATGCAGGAGGTCGGGTTGCCAAACTAACTCAGCTCAGATTTTTCCACAGTCAAATGTTCCAAAGACGTTTAAAAATCAAAGCCCAAACATTTCTGTATTGTCAGTTCTCACTGTTTTCAGAGAACACAGCTTCAAGGAATCACATTTTTACAATTGGGAAAGTAGAGATATAACTTCTAAGTTGAGTGTATAGGGAAGTATGATTCAAATGTAGTGCAAGCTTGGTAGAATGAGGTCTATAGCAAGCAAAGTCAGGTATTTAAAGTAAAGAACAAAAGAGAATGTTTCCAGTAAGCACCATACATGGATTTTGTTTGCCATGACTGAGTTTGTCTTAAAATTATGTCCACTTTTCTCTTGGAAAGTGACATCCACTCAAAGGATTTTATTTGTGCCCACTGTTTTCCCATCTTGGTTTTTGCTGAATTTTCAATTCAGAAGAGGTCTTTCTGTCAGTGAAATGAGCAGACTGCAGCCTGCTTCTGGCCTGAAATTACAGTGGGGGTGTGAGTTTCATTTTCTAATAATAATAACAAAAATGTACTTGCATTCTCTCCTGCTTATTCCTATTTTGTCACATTACCTCACTAACAGGCAGCTTGACCTCTCCCCTTTCTCCTATAATGTTGTTAAGGGAGTTTTTTTTTTTTAAGAACATCACCCTTAATTACAAATTAAATCTTTAACATCCCACCCTCACCATATCTTGTTCATATTGGCCTCATCCCTTAAAGAGATGCATAACAGGATGTGTATTTGAACAGCTGAAGTAGGGAAGAGCTATCAAACGTTAGTCTAAAAACCACTTCACAGATATTTCTCTCCAGCAAGTACCTACCTTGTTTGTTAATTGCATTAATGCACTGCTACCAGCTCCAGTCTTCATGAGTGTTTAGAGTACAAAGGGCTTTACTGCTTTACCGGAAGAGAATTTTAGACTGAACAGTTCCTTGTATGTATATCAGCTCTAGTTGAGACTTCAGCCTCTATTTCAGCATTTATAGTGAGTTGATAAGACTTAAAGGAACACAGATATTAGTGGGCTTGTAGGAGATTTCTGCAGATCTGTGTTGCTCTGCTGTTAGTGTTTCCTGCTGTTGGTTTGAACAATATACTTTTAACACTTTCCCAGTGAGCGAGGAAGATGGGAAGAATTCCCTCCGACCATTCTTGTCTAGAAAATACAAATGAACACAGGAGCCTGCTTACATGTTAAAAAAGTTTTAGCAGGAGATTGGGATCGAGGCTCCTACTCAGTGGTTCTGTGCAGGGTCGTTGTGATACATGCCTCAGATCCAGCTGCTGCCACCTTTGTCCTGTAGACCCGTTCCAAGGGATGGATTAGTATGTCCACAGTGCAGCTGTGTGTTCTGCTGTGTTATCTAGTGAAGTCCGGTGTACAGTCTGGACCTAAGATTTCATGGTTGTGTGACTCTGAGCTTAGGCTGTAAGCATGAATGGCATGACATCTGAATTAACTTGGTGAATGACCAGCTGTAGGGTTTGCAGTTTGAGGTAGCGTTTATAGGACTTAAATGAAAAAGAATCAACTTCAACAACCTGGGAGAGCCTCCTCTGTCAGGTGTATATGGGGCAGCTCAGGCATGCAAAATAGTATCCAAGCACGTACACAGTCCAAACTCATTGTTCATCTTCTGACCATACCTATAAATTGTGCTTTACCTGCATCTGTGGAGTGCGCCAGCAGCCAGCTGTCCAAGCACCTTTGCGAACTCAGACCCTGCAGTATGCAACCTGTGGGCCTCTGCCTTAAAGTGCTTGTACCTCAAATGACAGTTTTTCCAACTGCAGATTTGAACATGATTCAAATTGGAGATTTCTTTAAATTCCGTGTATCATAATATCTGGGTCAGGCACTCTCATAGTGTTATTGATCTAAAAAGGACTGGGAAGCTTCATTAATCAGTGTGCGTGACTTCGTACATGGAAATGGCTAATTGTGTCATGGAATCGTTGGGTTGCATTGGTAGAACAAGACAGTGCTTCTGCCCCAAGTAAAGAATTAGAAGCTATTTTCAGAATGAGAATACTGTGCCAGAGTCCTATTCTAAACCAGCAATAGCAAAGTTGGATGGCCATTAGGTCTGGGAATTGCTAAATTTAGGAGTGGACTGATGTAAAAGATAGCAGTAGCTCAGGGAATGCTGCTAAAAGCCTTGGTGTTCAAGTGCTTGCTGTAGTCTTTAGAGCTGCATATGGCAGAAAAGAGGAAGTAAGAGTTTACTGATGTGGAACCTCTACAAGAGTCAGAGATGAATGTGTTTCCTCTTTCATATGGGATGAGTAAGATCCATTGCAAAGATCCCATAGTGTCTAAGTGCATGATGTAACACATTTCACAGTATCATATATTCTAACTAAGGAGATCTTGGTAAGTGACTGTGACACGTTAACCGTAGAACCCCAACAGCATTTCTTCTCAGTCTAATTTCCAGACTCATGAAAGTTTCCAGCTGGTAGAGGGGAGGAGCTTGGAACTTCAATTTTAAAAGAGAAAAGAGGTGCTTTTGACTTTCTTGTTAGGCACAGCAAACTGTGTTCTATAACCAGACTTAATGAAAGAGGAGTCAGTGGGAGAAATTTCAAGAAGCCACTAGCCATTGCTTGTCCACCATTATCTCTTGCAACTTTCACAAAATCTTTGTTTTCAGAGAAGCTTCCCTGTCAGGCAGGTTGGCTCCAACACTTAAACTCTAATTACTGCCTAACGGGTTGGGAAGATCTTTGAAGTGAAGTGTGTGCTGCCATGTAGGGAGATCTTGCTGCTGATAGAAATGTCTGTAGAACAGCAAGAGGAGACGCATTCCTTGCACTGATCCAAATATTTCTGAGAACTGGGAAAATTATTATGAACAGGAGGAAAAAATATCTTCTTGTTACAATACAGGAGCTTACTTACAGGGGCATGTTCTGCAGGCATTCTGAAGTCCTCACATCCTTGCTCTTGAATCTGGAAGGCAGAGAAAAGCTGGAATAATCAGTCTCAACATTCACATGCTTTCTTACAAAATTTGCACTTAAACAATTATCAAAGAAAGATAAGCAACCACTTCTGCTATTACCTCCCATACTCGCTTGCTATTGGATTCTAAGGTTATTTTAATACTCTTCAGAAATTCCAGGAATTCCTCAACTTGTTTTCTATGCAGTTACTCTGCTGCCAGCAGGCTCCCGGAATGCAGCTGGCCAAATGCTCGTACTGATGCTGGGTTCATTTCAGGCACATGGGGAGACTGGGATCACAGGTAGCTTCTGCCTTGCCCCACGTCACAGCAGTCCGCATCATCTGCTGGCTGGCTGCTTGCTATGCCTATCCAGGACTCTGGGAGAATTGAAGATACTGTCCTCCATCCCAGATCCATCTCAGGGCTTGTAGAGTGTGTGCACAAAACTGCTGCTTTGTGGTGGCCAAGGGCTGCATGGGTCTTGTCTGAAGAAGTGCCATGGATTGATTTTTACACAGCTCTAGTTCTAGCAGCAACATGGGTTTATTAAAACTTTTACTGCAGATTACAATGCTAGATTATATGATTTTTAGCAGCTCTTCATCAGCACTTATAATTAGCCTGTTTAACACAATGAGTCAGTGGAGTTAGCAGCGACTTAGTCTGAGATTCAAGAGTGGCAAGGCTCACTCTTCCTGGGAGAGGAGGTTTCTGAACTCAGTTGCACACCTCTCATGGGAACAATTAGCTGGAGGCAGAGTTGTTTTTAAATTCTCCAGACAAATCTGCCAAAGCACACCAGTCTATCCCTGCATGTTCACATCAGTTCTAAGAAATTGAATTTAAACCGATCTGAAGTTAACAGTACACAGCTCCTGTGTATCAGCAGGCTCAGAAAGGAGCATTCATGCTGAGCACTTCACATTGTCATTTATGGTAGCACAAAGCATA